GGCTAACATTAGCCCTGCCTTCCACAGATGGGCTAACATTAGCCCTGGCTGCTGCGGACGGGCTAACATTAGCCCTGGCTGCCACAGATGGGCTAACATTAGCACTGACTGTTGCGGACGGGCTAACGTTAGCCCTGGCTGCTGCAGACGGGTTAAAGGTTAGCCCTGGAAACACTGGCATTTCAATGTTGGTTTGGGAAAAATAAAAAGACGCCATTGATCCCTGAGGGGAAGATGCTCTTTGAAATGGTTTGATTTGAATGCAGAAATGTATTTTTAAGAAAAGGGCTATTGATTTAATGTCCAGCTGCAACACAGAGCTACAGCCACACACAAAGAGGCTGGTTGCCATGCCAACGGCTGCTTTGTATTTCCCTTGGAGGGCAGAGGGTGTCCCATTCTCGTTTAGACCCCCACCTTCTATCCAGGTGGTGTCCACACTGAGGGGGGCCTCAGTGGTAGTTAGGGGGTGGTGGACGGGGATGGAGTGGGTTTGGTTCCCTGTGTGCTGTGAAATGATCCTTCCTGCTTCCTGTGGGGCTGCTGATCGGATCTGAGCCCCTGATGTTTCCTAGAACAGACCATAAAGTGATGGTTAAGGCTAAGGACTGTAGCTAGCTCTGATCTTCTCCTCTGTTGCTGCAGGTACTACAGAGCTGCGTATAGTCTGGTGCATGAGCTCAGAGCCCATGAGACCAACATGCTGGAGATCAAAACCATGGCAGGATTCATCAACTATAAGGTTAGTCTCTGCTCCTCTGGGTCTTTGGAAGTGGCTTACTAAACCGTTGCTACCAGGTCACCTGCTCAGAGGTCAGCCTGAAGCTGCAGACCTTTACTCCCGCCTGCTCTGACTCAGTGGTCCGCTGCGTGGTCAGCGTCTGCCCAGCCCCTGGTCTCACCTCTCTCTCTGTGTCTCTGCAGATCTGCCGTCTGTGTTTCCAGCACAACACGCCTCTGGACGCTATAGCTCAGTTCAGGAAGCACATCGACCTGTGTAAGAAGAAGATCGGCAGTGCTGAGCTGGCCTTTGAACACTCGGCGTGGATGTCTAAACAGTGAGAAACACACTGCACTTGAACACACCATGAGGCCTCAGTAATCTGAATACTTACCTGTTCACCTTTTTAGTATCAGTCCCCTTTGATGAGTAATGACAGAGCAGAGCGTCTGCCTCAGAACATCTGATGCTCTGTTGACCTCCTGTCAGAGCGTGTGACTCTTTGTGATGTCAGTAATGAGGTTAGAAGGCGGTGTGTGAGGGCGAACTGTTATCACAGTCTACGGTATCATCAGAGCTGGAGGCGAGCGCGGCTGGGTGTCTGGTTCTCAGGTCTGGTTTCTGCTTCCTAACAGGTTCCAGTCTTTCGGCGAGCTGTTCGATGAGGCGATAAAGTTAGGTCTGACCGCCATCCAGACCCAGAACCCAGGTTTCTATTACCAGCAGGCCGCCTGCTACAGCCAGGACCGGAAGCAGATGGCCCAGCAGCTCTGCCAGGTAAGACCCTGTGCGAATTGCTGGTTGATCGTTCTAAGCTCATCTAAGGAACTGTTTGGATCCTTTGTGTCCAGGCTGGAACCACCTACCCTTCCCCTGACCCTCTGGACACCCAGAGTGGAGGACTGGACTTCTACGGCCAGAGGCCCTGGAGACAAGGACACCAGAGTATGTTCTTCCCCTGAGCAGATGAGGCACTGGAGCTGAATCAACAACAGATGCTGTGACCTAGGACTTTCATCCTCTGATCCACTGTGTTCTGGATTGACTTTGACAGCAATGCATGGAATACGTTTAGAGTGATCTTTTATTTCTCTGTATCTAGCTTTAAAGTTGTAGAAATTTTTATTGGTTTCTTAATGGAGTTTTAATCTGTTTTTGGTCTTGTCTATCATCTGTCTTCACTAGGGGTGTCCCAATACAACTTTTTTATTTCCGATAACACTACTGCAGCTTTAAGATTTGATCGATAGCAATAGGATATCAGCACAGATCATACATACTTTTCTTACTTATTTTGTACTGTTGAATGGTAGAAAAGCCTTTATCAAGTGATTTTAATAAAAGAGAACAATCGTCAACAACAATTTTTTGGGCTAAAATCAGACTGCTATCCAATATTAATATTGGATTGGGACATTCTTGATCTCCAAAAGGCCACAGATAAGATCTTTCTCAGTTTCTAAAAGACGGACATTTTGTCAGTCTGCCACAAAGAGCCTAAACTACTGTAGAAAGCCAGCGAAGTAATCACCTGTTTGTGGTCCTCACTCTTAACAGCGGTATTCCAAAGAAGTTATATAACAGACTAAGATTCTAGCAGCGCTCAGATTAAAGATGGTTGTTGTTTACAGGTATTGATCCAACTGATCCAGAGAAGGAGAAGATGGGGATTCTGGCTCTGCAGATTAAAGAGAGAGACGTCCCCCACTCGGTAAGAAAATACCGGCTGAATGTTTTTATTTTCCAGGTGGGTTTAGGAAGTTTCTGCTTTCTTTCCACTGTAGAAGTCACTATCATGGATAAAGAACTTAACCAGGTCATCATATAAGTTTTTAGGGACACCTACAGTACATTTTAGCTAATAAGTTGTGGGGAAAAAAAACTCCAGAGAGGTTCAACTTTCCCCTAAAGAGTGTGAAACTGCTGCAGTAGCTTCCCTAGCTTTGTGACTCATTAGGCTACTTTAGCTCCTGTCTGGTGAATAACGCCACCTAGCCTCTGACTCGTTAGGCTACTTTAGCTCCTGTCTGGTGAATAACGCCACCTAGCCTCTGACTCGTTAGGCTACTTTAGCTCCTGTCTGGTGAATAACGCCACCTAGCCTCTGACTCGTTAGGCTACTTTAGCTCCTGTCTGGTGAATAACGCCACCTAGCCTCTGACTCCGTAGGGGGGG